GGGGTGGACCTTTCACAAGGAGATTCACTTATTAACTTGGAATACGCTGATAATGTTATACTGTTCGATGAAGATGTCAAACAAAGACAATCTTCTTACCATCTATAGTGACTTTGAGAGCATGCTTAGGATACGATTCTTCCCGTCCGAATGCAAAATGTTGTTTTACGATTCGTTTGCTTCGATGCCTAAAACAACAATAGGAAGTGAAATAGTTCAGCATGTTGACCGCTTCAGTTATCTTGGTTGTTTCATCAGTCTTGATGATCTAGTATCTAAAGGAATTCACAACGCTCATTTGACTCTAGTGGACTTGCATCACTTACGACGCAGGCGAGATATTTGTCTGTCAACTAAAGGACGAGTTTTCTGCGTAGAATTTCTCTCTATTCTAATTTAAGCACGTTAAACGTCGATATTAGGAGTAAGGTTTCACTAACACGTTACTAACACTTGATCATAAATGTCTTTGGCGTACTGCTAAAATATTTTACAACCATTCAGTGAGAAATAAAGAAGTTAGGCAAAAAACACTTCGATTGTGGTTGAGTTTCGTTGTTTGAGATGGATGTTTTAATTGTGAAGTTTTCATTGTTCTTCTGAATAACATCATCAGCACAAACTTCAGATCGACGTCTGAATTTGAAGTTTATGCTGATGACGTTGTTCAGAAGAACAATCAAAACTCCACAACTAAAACATCTAACCTAGAGAACGAAACCCTATCACAATCAACCAACCTGAATTGAAAAAAAATTTCCATCATCTCACAAGACTTCGAACCCGGATACAACAAATTCTTCTTATCTTAAAACATAGATCCAATAATCAAAATTAGTTTGATAAAAATCCTTGAAGAACTAACCATTATACTCAAGTTTATTCATTTTGTATATCGATTCGGTTCCGTGATCATTGAAGGATTTTAATAATTCTCGCTACAATTTTTCAAAACTAGTATAACAATGTTCATGATTTAATTTGCTTACAGTTGAATTTCCCTGAATGAATAAGTACCTTTACTGTTGAATATAGAGTCTTAGTAAAGTTATAGTTAAACACAGGTGACTATTTATGTAATGAACACTTTTAATCTGTTTGTAAAATATGATCGGTAGTTAAATTTTAAAAAAGGCTGGACATTTAAATCGAATATTATTTCATCGGAATCACGAACTGATCAAAGTTAGATAATTATTTTAATGATTGGAAGTATTAGATGGTTATTTCAACCTAGGAGGTCGTTCTTCATTGACGAGGTAGTGTACACCCACAGTACGTCGTTGTTGATGGTGTCTGGCCAACAAATACGAAGTATTTTGCGTAGACATCTGTTAATAAACACTTGTATCCTCTGGATGATGGCTTTGGTAGTTCTACAAGTTTCCGGTCCATACAGCAGAAAGAACTGTCTTGACATTAGTATTGAAAATCCTTATTTTGGTTTTGGTTGAAAGTTGTTTGGATTTCCAGATATTTTTCAATTGTAAAAACGCAGCCCTTGCTTTGGCAATCCGCGCCCTTACATCTGCATCCGATCCACCTTTCTCGTCGATGATGCTGCCCAGATATATACACGTGTCAACGTCCTCCAAGGCATCTTCATCAAGAGTGATTTGGTTGGTGCATGTTGTGTTGCATCGGAGAAATTTGCTTTCATCTTTAATGTATGTTGAGACCGACTGCTGCAGAGGCTGCTGCTACACTGGTCGTCTTCTCTTGCATTCGCTGTTGCGTGTGCGAAAGAAGAGCCAAGTCATCTGCGAGGTCCAGATCGTCCAGCTGCGTCCTAGCTGTCCAGTTGATAACGTGCTTCCTTCAGATGTCGACGTCTTCATAATCCAGTCGATCACCAGGAGAAAGAGAAAGGGTGAGCGTAAGCAACCTTGCCTGACACCGGTTTTTACCTCGAAAGAGTCTGTTAGCTGTCCTCCGTGTACGATTTTGCAGTTGAATCCATCATAAGAGTTCCGTATGAGGTTAACTATTTTCTCAGGCACCCCGTAGTGTCGAAGAAGCTTCCACAGTGTTTTCCTAACCACGCTATCAAATGCTTTCTCGTAGTCGATGAAATTGATGTAGAGTGGTGAGGTCCATTCAATTGATTGTTCCACAATGATCCGTAATGTAGCAATTTGGTCAGTACACGATCGATTATTACGATTTTCAATACAAATGTCAAGACAGTTCTACTGTATGGAGCGGAAACTTGGAGAACTACGAAAGACATTATCCAGAAGATACAAGTATTTATGAACAGTTGTCTTCGCAGTGGAGGAGGAAATCAGGAAGAAGTGGTGGAAGTGGATGGGACACACAATACGAAAAGCACCTAACTGCGTCACAAGACAAGCCCTCATATGGAACCCTCAAGGCAAAAGGAAAAGAGGAAGGCCAAGGAACACATTAAGCCGAGAAATAGAGAAAGATATGAGAAGAATCAACAAACATTGGACAGAACTAGAAAGGGAAGCCCAGGACAGAGTTGGTCGGAGGAAACTGGTCGGCGGCCTATGCTCGATTGGGGTTAACAGGTGTAAGTAAGTAAGTAAGTACTGACTGTAAAAATAAACTAATATGGGTTAGGGTTACGGCATATATGTCTAATTTTGATAATTTCTGTCGATTATAACAATTCGTTTTCAGACAAAAAAATTCCTTAATTTAATCAGACGATGTAGTTAGTAACTGCAGAAGAAAATGGTTGAGGTTGTACAAAACCTTAGATTGATCAAAAGTAGACGTTAACAGGGTTGAATGCCAACTCAGTGATCCAGAGGTTAAGCGTTCGTCCACAAGACTGAAGATCCACGGTTCGATTAGCACATGCAGGGGTCACTGATGTACACTACTGGTGAGACCCATACGAAGACGAAACGGCTGACCAGTGCTTCCAAGTTTGTAACGATGGTCTAACAATGATCAATTCATTGTTTCAATGAAAACTTTTGATTACTTTACAAAAAGGATAATCTTTTTAAACGGTTGTCCACTTTCTTCTTTTTCTTTCTGTTTCCTTTCAAATTGACGATTTGAGGGTTGATTTTTAAATATATGAGAATAAATAATTAGGATTTAACAGATATTCAAGGCTTTACATCATTTGTTTATACTTGATCAATTTGTTCAATGTATCATATTGATAAAACTAGATTATATTTTAATATTGATCAGTCAATATTTCTCACTACTAGTTTCTATATTTTCAGATCGTTTTCTAAGTGAATGTCACATCTTTTGTTTTATAGATTGTATAAAATATGATGCTTTACATAGATAAGTAACAGTTAAGGAAATTTTTCAACACAGTTTAGCATTTCACTTATACAATATGGCTATTTCTTGTATAGAATACAAAATACAGGCTTCTAATACAAATTATCGAATAGTGACATGTTTTCAGGATCTCTGGAATATAATTGTAAACATAAATACGTTTGTAAAATTATGTAAACGTATATCAATACTTGCTACTTACTTACGCCTGTTAACCCCAATGAAGCATAGGCAGACGATCAGTTTTTTCCAACCTACTTTATCCTGGGATTCCCTCACCAGTACTGTCCAATTTTTGTTCATTCTTCTCATATCTTTCTCTATTTCTCAGCGTAATGTGTTCTTTGGCCTTCCTCTTTTCCTTTTGCCTTGAGGGTTCCTAGTGAGGGCTTGTCTCGTAGGTGCTTTTCGTAGTGTGTGTCCTATCCACCAAACTCCACCGCTTCTTCCTGATTTCCTCCTCCACTGGAATCTGGTTTGTTCTCTCCCACAGTTGGTTGTTGCTGATCGTGTCTGACCAACGAATTCGAAGTATTTTGCGTAGACAACTGTTAATAAACACTTGTATCTTCTGGATGATGGTTTTGATAGTTCTCCAAGTTTCCGCTCCATACAGTAGAACTGTCTTGACACTTGTATTGAAAATGCTGATTTTGGTTTTGGTTGAAAGTTGTTTGGAGTTCCAGATATTTTTCCATTGTAAAAATGTAGCACTTGCTTTGCCGATCCGCGCCCTCACATCTGCATCGGATCCTTCTTGGTTGTCGATGATGCTGCCCAGATATGTAGACCCTTCGGGGCTACTGCCAGTCTCAAGCCCGGATAAAGAAGGTGGTTCGGTCATGGGATTGGCGACCCCATCCCGTCAAAAAACTAACTTGCCAAAAAAACGCTAACCAGAAGAAATAATTTAAACGCATATCAATGTTTGACATTAAAACTCAGATTTTTCATCAATTTTTTCTTGACTTGAGAATAATATTCATCATGAACCGTTGTAAATCAGAGAGTCACTGAACACTTCTATGTTGCTTGACAAGTGGATTCTTGACTGTCGCTCAACAGTGACCACTCACTAAATTGGACTGTGCACTTTCGAAATACATGGCTGCCGCGATAATTTAGGACTAATATACGAGTTTTTTCATAAACGAATCATTTTAGACCACCATTAGTAACCCACAAACACTGGACGGCCGTTTCGACCTAGTATGGGACTCTTCAGCATTGCGAATCCACGACTCCTGTTACTCGCGGGATTCGAACCCCAGACCTTCGGTCTTGCACGCAAACGCTAAACCTACGAACCGCTGAGCAGGCATCCAACGAATCAATCGAAGGATTTTGTGCAACATCACCCACTGTCTTCGCTGAGTACTTCTTCACACCCGGACAGGGATGAACGCTACTGGTCACGTCGTGAGTGCGCACTGCTGATGAGGCCCTAACCAGGACGAAACGGCCGTCCGGTGCTTCCAGGTTTCTAATCATGGTCGAACAAGGATTCATTCATGATTTCAATATAATGTAAGAGTCCATATTTTTAAATTTCTCCTCAAATAACTAACACTTCAAGGTTTTTGACTTAAGCCTAGACTATATTGTCGCGTGCTCATTTTTAACTTGTCACTTACAAGGATAGAATATCAACCTTGTATTCCTTTATTGACAATGGTCCTCCGCAAAACCCATCCAATAATATTATACTGTTTAAAATTATTAAACCATTTTAAAGCTCTTCATTATTCAAATCAATTAAAACATTATATTCAATAGTAAATAAACATAAATAATTTTGTTGTTCAGTGATCAATGACAAATAAAATGAGATTATAAATAGTGTAAAATGTAAATTACACAAAATTAATTTTGGAATTGATCAACATTTTACTATGTCCTCATTTTGTGATCCAGACAGACTTATGAATAACTTTTTTATGCACAGACACACACACAGTTATAGAGTGTGATACACACAAACAAGATAACCTTGAAAACAAAAAAAAAGAAATGCTCATCGCTTCAACCAATCATTGAAAAGTAAAAAATAATAACAACACAAACAATTGACATTATGACTGGATAATATGACCTGTTTAGATAGACAGACAGACGTGAGTAGAGAGTAAGATAGATAGATAAACAAACCAGAAAACCTTCAATGACCTTGTGTAGTGATATGAAAAAACAAAAATGTTGGCGAAAAAGTGTTATTTTGCGTGTCGGAATAAAACAATAAGAGTAATAAATAAATAAAACTATAAATGACATGATCAAATCTTATTGTTAAATTGAATTGATGAACTCAATCATTGTAACATTTCTGTAGGATTGGTAGTTGTTTCAAAGAAATGTTGAAGATTCTTTTGAATGGTTCTGATTAAATCTGTGACAGAAAGAAGAAGATAAAATGAGAAGATAGTGAGAGAGAACAAAATGAAATCACCAATTAACTAATGAGGTTTGATAACTGTTGACACTCTGCATGCACTGGATGGTAGTCTTATCTGAAGTTCTGTACTACTATATCAAGCGTACATGGGCGATTCTAGTTTCCGACAAACTAATCAGTGCTTCCAGGTTTCTAATGGTGGTCTAACAATGATTGATTGATGATTTCAAATGTGAAGAAGCAAAAACCTCCAAAACTCTGCCCCAAAATATCGTAACAGTGCTCACTAGTGACTAGCTTCGTGAGGAAATTCCACGGAGTTCTAGTTGAGAAGAGGAGTTCAACCCTATCGGGTGTAGGCAGTAACTACCAAAGACAAATGTGTGAGGTCGCGCAAAATCCGTAGATCAGACAGAGTTAGACATTAACACCGTTGGATACCGGCCCAGTGGTCCGATGGTTAGGCGTTCGCGCACAATACCGAAGGTCCTGGGTTCAAATCCTGCGAGGTGCATGAGTCGTGGGTGTGCACTGCTGATGAGTCCTATACCAGGACGAAACGGCCGTCCAGTGCTTCCAGGTTTCTAATGGTGGTCCAACAATAACTGATTGATGATTTCAAATGTGTAAAAGCACAAACCTCCAAAACTGCCCGAAAGTAATCAGTATATGCTTTTCGAATCTTTGTCATCTATTTACACCTTTGTCAATTACCCGCTTATAACCTTGACTGATTTTATTTCGGGGTGTATGTATGCACACTGCTTATGATATTCATCTTATACTTACAGTATACTGTATTTATGGCTATAAATAGTGAATCACGTATGCCTTCTGGCTTTGCTTCGTTTTCCAACTTTTCATCTTAATGTGTATGTCTACATAAACGAGTGCGTAAATCAGAGAAAAATAATGAGCCACTATACGTCTTGGTATGGGACACGTCAGAAGTTTGCGTTCATGACACTTGAAGCAGGAATCGAAGCTAGGGGAATTCGGTTTCGCGTGCAAACTTTTAACATGTAGACCATTAAGATGGCGTCCAAAGTTATTGATGTCTAACTTCAGTCAATCCACCATATTGCGCGACCTTATCTATTTTCCGTAGTGATGAACCGTCTCACAGACTACACTGCTTAGCCAAATTGATCACAACTTCTCGTTAGAACCCCAGAAATCTTCTTTCAAACCTAGTCATTAGTCAGCGTATAATACTTGTCAGTATAAGGTTGTACAGACTGTTGAGTTTCATTGAAAACATGAACTGATTTAAGTTAGATCACTGTTGAATACTGATTCATTGATCTAAGGGGTTAAGAGTTCGTGCGCGAAACCGAAGCTCATGGTGTAGTGAAGGAGAACACAGATGAGGGCAACCGAATTGCATTTAACGAAAATTACAGAGATACTCAGTAAAATCGGAAAACTATATCGTGAATTGTTCAGTTGCAAAATATCAATCCATCATATCGAACTGGACTGTTCCTGTTGCAAAACATCAATCCATTGTCACTATTCATGTGTTTCATACAAATTCCATTGTTTTCTAACTCTTCCTTCCTTGATCTTCCCCCCATCTTCTGCTGCCAGACATTACGTTGACACTCACGTCATATACTACTTATAAGTAGCTTGCACCACAATGGTTTCGATTTTCGCGAACTAGCCATCGAGGATAACGCACTCGTTACCAACATCACAGTTAGATTTCAAATCAAATGAACATTCCAATAGGATGACAATTACACTGTTAACACTTGATAATTTAAAGCCAACTTCAAAATAATCGCATACTGAAGACAGAGAAAAATTTTAAACTCTTATAATATTCAATAACAAAATTTTTACTGAAAAACTAACCATTAGGTAAATTTGTTGCACTAGCTTGTTTACGTAGAAAATCCACACATAATTCATGTCCCATTCCTAATGCATACATACGCCATAGAAATTTGCTATAGACATATAAAAAACAACAGAATCACAATAGAAGAAACGGAAAAATATGAATCTAGTACAAACAATTCGACATATATTCGTCAGACATCTTCTTACTGACATGATGAAGTTGTGGAGATTGTTGAATTACTTTTTGAAATCAAGGACGGGCCAATGTTAGACTGCACCATTAGTAACGTGAAAGCATTGGATGGACGTTTTGTCCAAGTATGAGACTACTTATCAACAGTGAGTATCCATAACTCCTGTAACTCATAGGATTCGAAAACTCGAGACCTCCATTCTTGCACTCGAATGCCTAACCTCCGGATTACTAGCCTGGCATCTAATGGTGTTGATGTCTAACTCTGATCATTCCACGAACTTGCGAAAACCTAATCTACTGGCTTTGGTAAGCACTGTTTCACAGCCGAACAAGGTTGAACTCCACTGGTCATCACCAGTTCTTACTGATATGATAAGGTTGTGGAAATTGTTGAGTTATTCATTGAAATCATGGACCATCAATAGAAACCTGGAAGCACTGGAGGGTCACTTCGTCCTAGTATGGGACACACCAGCAGTGCATATCTTCGGTCTAGCACGAGAACGCCTAACCTCCGAACTACTAGCCCGGCATCTAACGGTGTTAATGTCTAACTCCGATCAATCGACGGTCTTGCACAAACCTAGTAAACACTGCCTCATATCCGAACAGGGTTGAACTCCACTGGTCATCACCACTTTTCATTAGAACTTGGAGAAACTTTCTCATGGAGCTAGTCATTAATAAGCACATGATAATTTGCATGATAGGTTCATGATTTTAAAACTTGTTTTGATTTTCGCTAATCAATGAATGTGGTAGATCAGGGTTGAAAAGTACTAGTTGATATAACGAGCCAATCAGAAGTGACTTAATGACAAGGTCATTTAATGACCATCAGAATAAGTTTCAAAGTAGAGCTCGCTTCTTTAGTCGCCTGCGAACAGTCAAATAGCCTTGGAAATAAACCCTACCTTCAGTTTCCATATATCATAATTAGGCGAACACTGTTTGTGCAACGGCTGTAATTGGAAGCCAAATATGAATTCCAGTTGGATGAGTTTATTTCATGAAATCGTTCACGTAGGCAGCTATGAGATACAAAGCGTTAAAGCAAACCAAAGCAAAGCGAAGCAAAGTGGAGAAGGTGAGTGAGCCAACGCAATCCAATGAGGCACGACTAAATTAATTATACTCACTCAAAAAATAGGATAGACATGCGATCAGTGTTATGCTCTTCACTTGATATACTTGAAACTATTACAAATTCATCTTAGCCGATAAACGAGTACCAGACAATGAACCAGTGACACGTTATGCGACTCTGATCGGTTGCCCGAAAGGAACTAACGAAGAAGTCCTGATACAGTATAGAAAGTGTATTCTACAAACACCCAGCAAGCACAATGCAATCAAGCAGACAAATCATGTTTATTTATACATCATAGAGACGTCCTTGTGAGAGTCACAAAAACAGCGCACTAAAATAACGCAGCAACCAGTCATAACCAAGCAACCTCCTGGTGGGAAATGTGATCTCAAGGTCAACTGACCAGCCCATGAATAAAATCAAAAATTAAGACATTTATCAAGCGAGATCTGGGGATCTAACGACCCCAACAATCAGCAAAGTAAAGCAACACATACACGTACTTAAATTAAGGCGACCAAGGTTACGAGCAAATGACTGACAAGTCCAAAATAAAGACATATCAATGGTGACTCGAAAACGATGCACTAAATTACTTGTTTCAAATGATGGAACAAGCCATATGGGTACAAAAAAATATTCAATTATTTTACATTTCTTTCTTCATTCATCCAAAGAAAAATCAATGCAATAATCCATCCGATCAATGAAAAATAATCATGAATATTAAATATTACTTAATGTGATTTCCGAGTTTTAAAACGTTTTTTTTTTCTGATTTGATTTGATGTTATCGTGTAGACAATAAACTCAATGGATTTCCGAGTGCTTTTTTCCTATGAATGGCTTATTCCCCAAAAAAAATTTCTTATTATAAACAATGAAATAAGAAAGAAAATGTTATCAGACATATACCATCTACTGAAAAGTCTCATATTCAGACGAAATAACTGACTAGCCTCAATTGGTTAGATGAAGTTGAATCTATGACATAGATTATAAAAAAAATTTTGAACAGAAGCAAAAATATATACATATAAGTTACATGTTTCTTTCATTATCGATCGAATCGATAATGTCTATTTGAGAAATCTTAGGAGAATTAATTTTGGAAAAATGAGGGACTTAAGAATCATCTAAGTGTAGTATTTCTTAAAAGCTCGCAGAGACTATCTAAAGGGATTTGTATGATCGGTAATACGCATTGAAATAATGTTGCAGACTATGATAAAACAGTTGGTCAGTTCTCCATTGTTTCCGGTAGTGATACCCCAATTAATATCAAACCGTGATGTAAAACAATGATGAATTTCAATATTATTAATTGACCTACTTAAAAAGTTATTAAGTAGTACAAATTGAAAATGACAAACAAATTGGCATGAATATGACAAATATTGATTGGAACACGAATTTAATTAGATTTATCAAAGTTACTGTTGCCGTAATTTAAAGTTTTGTTTCATTTTCAATAGTTTACAGCTTTTCAATGTTAACTCATGGAAAATAAGTTCAAGAGGGCAAAAATAACAGACGGACACTGTTGTCTAACAATGGAACAGGTCAGTATAAAATACTTGCATTTAAATATGAAACTAAAATGTTTTTAGATGATGTAGCCCTAAAAATAATTCTGAACAAAAATTCTTTTGTATTGCTGACTAGCCGCTACATTTCAATTGAAAGCAACTAAGTAAAACCCAGTTACTCACCTTTGACGCTTAATTCCCTTTCTTTTTTATATTAAATTATACTACTTAATAATGATAAGTAACTTATATAATTCTTATTCACTTTTCAGCACATGTAAATGGTATATACATGAATCTGTGACATTTCATTTTACTACTTATTATGATTTTATCCTCTTAGCATGCTTAATAGTTTTATTGTGTGTTCATTTCAGATTCAATTGTTTTTAACAAGTTTTATATTAAGCATGAATAATTACTGTTTCGATCAGTTATATGTTACTGTTAGGTTTGATACAGTTATAGGATATTACTTGGTTTCATAAATATACAACTACATATCTTACATACCGAGTTCTGTTAACTCTATACCTAACCAATTACCATATGCAACTAAATTCTGATTTTTGACAAAGCACTGGCTTTTGAGATTTTTTTCTGGTTAATGTTTTTTTAGCGAGTTGGTTTTCTGCGGTGTGGGGCTGATTATCCCATATCCAGCCCTCCTCCTTTATCCGAGCTTCGGACAGGCAGTAACCCTAGAAGGTTTCAAGGCACGGAATGGAAGGACAAGGGCAGTATTTCTACAATTGAAGGACATGTACAACTCAAAACAACTATCAACAAACACCGAATTCTGAATTTTCAATACAAATGCCAAGATAGTTCAAGTGTATGGAGAGGAAACTTAGAGGATGGAGTAAACAAACCAGCTTCCAGATGAGGAAGAAATCAGAAGAAAAAGCTCGAGGCGTATATGACACATCACAAAAGTTATCCAACTGCATCAAATAACAGGCTCTCACTTGGAATCCTTAAGAGCAAAGGAGGAGAGGAAGATCAAAGAACTCATTACGTTGATTATTGGAAGCAGACATGAAAAGAATAAACAACAATAGGGTAGAACTGGAGTGACAAGCCCAAGACAGATTAGGTTGGAGAATAATCGTCGGCGGTTTATGCTTCATTAAGGATCATAGGTTTTGAGTAGGCAAGTAAGTAAGTAAGTGACATGCTTTCAATTTGCGTTTCATGAGTGACTCAACCAACTGATCTGAATCTTCAAACGAATTTCCCAAATAGGTTATTTCAATAACAATACAAATTTTTTTTATTTAACACAATTGTCTAACTCACCTTAACTGTGAATATGCAATATCATTTTGAAAATCAGTTTCTGCTTGAATTGGATCATCACCTTCAGCGCTAAATAGGAAGAAACATTGGAAGAAATAAAATACCATTCATTCTCGTTAAACATTACTTTCTTCTAAAGTATAGTCTCTTTTATTCAATATCAAAAGAAAAGTTGACTTAATAAGAAATCAACACGTGGTATTTTCGTCTAAGAGATGGAGTATTATCGGTTCATTCATAATTTGTGCGCAACAAACCGTGATCTCTTTGTGAAATCGCAATATCATTCGACAGCATAAAAGCTAATCATTCCAGATTTAAACAATGAATAATTAGTCAGTTAAACTCTATAAAAATTACAATAATAACTGAAGAGAATACACTTTAAATACACGTTATACATTTATGTATCAGTCAGTTAAACCAAGTTAATTACTGAACATTAACCGAATAAAAACACTTATAGGATTGAGTTCAATATTTAAACTTGGTATAAATAGAGCTTGGAAAAGTAGTTAGCACCAAATAACAGATATGTAGAGAGGAGGAAATAAAATGCCGAAGTGATTAAAAATATGAATTAAGATAGTGTCACGAATGCATGAAAACGTGTCAATTTCATATGCTTCAACTATGACGAGCGAGGGTCCGGCGAAACGACAGGCTACTCTAATCTGAGTGTCTCAACCCCCAATTGAGTAAAAAAAGAAGACTTGAATGTGAAGTAGAACATGTATTCGACAAGCATCCAGAAAGTACGAGGTTCGAGTCCAGAAGAGAATCAGGATCCCAGATTAGGGATCCGGGTCCGGGTCATAAAACCTTACAGATAATGCGTATTTATACGTTTAGGTCGAGTAGGAAACAGAATCGAAGTCTGTAACATTGACCGTTAAGTCGACCAATAGGAAGCAACATTTGCAGTGACATTGATAGCTAGGACGACCATAATATTGACCAATAGGAATCGACCAATAGAATTTACACTTACAAAATGATTCTTCGTAGGATATTTGGTGAATATCCTAACAGACAGAGACATAACAATGTTCATAATTCAGATAGATGGTTGATTGTTGTAATGAAGAAATTGTAAGACATAAAATTGTTGTAATTAACTTTGAAGTACTTTTGTATTTGTAAGTAGTATGACAAACAAAATGGAAAAACGTTATTAATAGAGGAGTGGATTCGAAAACACATGTAGTCAAAACTAAGCAATCAGTTAGAATTCTCACTAGTTCATATCCAATAAAGTATAGCTGATTATGTAACAATTGACCTGAAACAACAGATTATTTAACACCATCTTAGAATATAAAATTTTGGTGTAAGAAAAATATTTCATCAAATTATAACGAGTTTTACAGAGATTGGACAACTGGCTTCATTCTTTGATCATCAATCTAAGTCATTGTATGATTTAATTTGTCCCTACAGATGTACTGCTACAATCGTAAACGTAGTGCTGGAGAATATAGAATCGATGAGAAAGCTATAGCCAGAAGAAAAAGAACAACTTGGCTTTAAACTTTATCTGTTACTAAACATTTAAAACAATTAGATTAGTACAATAATTAAGGAAATTACTGTTGTCATAAGTTGAAATGAGCAAACATACTGACCAATATGGCGCGTCTTAAGAAAATGAATAAAATTATGAATCACATCAATATATATGATAACATAATCATGTTCTTCAATTAGTAGGTCATTTACAACAAAGATAGTTTACAGACACGTCAGACCAGATCACGTGGTAAGTGCTTAGATCACGATTTGATTGGTCAGTTATGGACATAACTAACAGTCACAATGAATAGATATTATACATTTATACATCAGTTTAGACTCGACAGTAAATTATCTAAGGCTTTGTACATTCGAAGCGAAAGATAGTGTGATCAACTCCTCTAATATGAATATCAACACTGAAATGCATAAATATTCAACTGATGAGTTCCAAAAAAGGATGAAACTCCATTTTGGTTGCTTGTGATCTGACTTCGATTTGAACGAACGATTGCATATTCTATGAAATGAATCTTCCCTTAAATTTCCGTATATGAAGCGTAGGCGAAACCTGTTTGCGTGACAGACGTAATAAGATGCTAAATAAGGATGGATGTGTTTATTTGGTGCATTCACATAAGCAGACAGAGAATCTTAAAAGTGAATGGAAGCAAAGTGAAGTGGAGTAGGTGAGTGAAGCCAACTCAGTGTGATGTGATATGACAAAAATAAGCAAGACATGGGATAAACGAAGCAAATGAAACCAACCAAGGTTATCAAGTGAATAATAGACAAGGTCGAAAGACGACACCTGAATCATAACTTGAGAAGAATGGGTTAATTAAATTTGTTCAAAGGCTGGAACAAGCCATTTGGACACGATATATCTGTACACAATACAACATGTTTGAATCTTATGCCTAGCCACATCATCGACGAGATACAAACTTGTAAGAAATTCCTGTCTATAACCAACCCGTATAGAATGCATTTACAAACCAGTTAAAAACATATCAATAATCTAAAGGACTCTTTATGAACAATGACAAGTAAACAGATTTTAATTTACCTATTTCAACCCGTATTTCATATTTTCTGACATAAAATATCTTATGTACTACAGATGTACAACAATCTTACCGTTCGTGGTGGTGTTTCGTTCTCTGAGCTGGTTGTTTAGGTTGTGGAGCTTTCATTGTTCTTCTGAACAACATCATCAGCACAAACTTCAGATAGAAGTGAAGCATTCGAATTTCTCCTCCACGTTTGACCTGTAGCTTGTTCTGCTAAACCTCGATCTTGATTGGTTGCTGTTGACTTTTGACCTGTCGTTGTTTGCAACTTTGTAGTGATTGCATCCCCCTTTCGACCTGTTTCTTGATATTGTGTCACCTATGATTTTTGTGATTGGTTGGTAAATTGAGTCAATGTCGATGTGTTTGTTGATTGCTGATTGATTTGAGTGCCAAGCTTCTAAAAATTCTCTTGTGTTCTTTGTGCTCCTCCTATCTAATATTTCCACATTGTTCCAATCAAATGTGTGTCCATATTTGTCGGTGTGTATTGATATAAGCGAAGCGTTGTCGTGGCGTTTGACTGCTAATTGGTGTCCACTTTGTCCTATGTAGTGTTTTTCACAGTCTGAGTAATTTATTTTGTAGATGATATTTGGTTTTTCTTCGTTTGTCATTTTGTCCTTTGGTCTACACATAGGATTGATTGAAGTGATTCTGTTGGTTTGTGTGCCACACCTATTCCAAATGGTTTCAGTAGTCGAGCTGTATGCTCCGATATGTCTTTGATGTATGGTGGGATGATGCGTTTATTTGTTTCTGTGCTTGATTTCGCTTTTGATGATGGTTTCGGTTGATGTTTTTTGATGAAGTTGCGTGGATAGCCATCCTTTTGGAAGATAGTCATCAGGTGTTTTTCCTCGTTTTTTAATGCTTCATATGTGCTGCAGTGTGTCTTCGCTCTCTTGAACAAAGTTTGTATGCAGTTGATCTTGTGGGTTCTTGGGTTGTTGCTGTCGTAGTTGAGAATTACGTCTGTGTGGGTTGGCTTCCGAAATACTTGAGTTTCTAGTTTTCCTGTGTTAGTTCTGGTGATTAGTACATCCAGGAATGATAGGCTGTTGTTTGATTCCTTTTCCATCGTGAATTTGATGTCATCGAAGCTCCACAACCAAAACAACCTGCTCAGAGAACGAAACACCACCACAATCATCCACCTGAGCTACAAGTTTTCTCCACCATCTCAAAATCTTACCGTTCCACTATGTTATAACACTCTCTTAAATAAAACCCAGCTAATTCCTAATGCTTAGTTAGTATTCTGTGACAACAGATACACTCGATAAGTTCCCACCCAAATCAGAACATGTTGGAACAGGAATAGAGATTATATTCCAAATAGCAAGGTTAAAACGCAAGTCGGAAGGTCGAAGAGAAGACGACGGCGAAATAGAAACAACTTTAGTATCTTTATAGTTTTTTTCATGAGAAGCTTCTGGAATCAAATCCACGTGATTGACCAGCACTGACCGGATTAGGAAATTAGCCAATCAGCGTGCAGCTAACGCAGTCATGCTTTAATCCATCTATGTCCCACTAACACACTATTATTATAATAAACGTTACATATTACGTAATATTAATAATAATAATAGCGTTGCATTGTTCAACCAGCACATAGAAATTTCTTTTACATAATGAATAATTATATCAAGATTTGTAGTTTAAACGTTTAATTTAGTTTATAAAAAATCAATTTTCAATTGTATTCAAAATTATGTACTGCTAAAATCTTTCCTACTTATGACGATGGACATCAAATCGCTTCTCGTTGTATTTTTTGGCGGCTACATGATTTCATTGACAAGATTTCATTGTCATCCTAGACAACATCATGCATAAAATGAGCTTTCTAGTCATTCCATAACTTACTTACTTACGCCTGTTAGCCATGATGGAGCATAGACCGCCGACCAGTATTCTGCAGTCTACTCTGTCCTGGGCTTCCCTTTCCAGTTCTGTCCTTTCATTGTTTATTCTCCTCAAGTCTGCTTCCATTTCACGGCGTATTGTGTTCCTTGGCATTCTTCTTTTCTTTGACCTTCAGGGTTCCAAGTGAGGAGTTGTCTTGTGACGCATTTGGGTGCTTTCTTTAAAGTGTTTCCTATCCACTTTCACCGCTTCTTCCTGATTTCTTCCTCCACTATAATCTGGTTTGTACAATCCCACGATAAGTTTTTGCTGATGATGTCAGTCATTTCGTAAGCGGTAATTTAATTCTCCCTGATAACTTCGCCCATAACTGGCCATCATCCATGGTTCTTATATACACCTTGACTGCCTATTTTGTCAGGTGACCATGGGATTAACTCATGTCACCAAGATGAGTTGATAGATCAGATCTATATCAATGTTTGTATTGATCTTCAAATGATCTGAATTCCATGCTTTTAAAAATTCTTTATCATTCTTAAGTTGTGGCCGGTCCACAATTTAGACTTCTCCACCTAGAGCCCTTCAGGGGTTATTCCCGATCCTAAGCCCAGATTAAGGAGGAAGGTTAGGTATGATGTTAACGACCCCTCCCTGTAGAAATACAACTTCCTAAAAAAGAACTAGCCAGAAAAATAACCCGCTGGTCAGCTGCCTATGCTCCATTAGGGGTTACAAGTGTCAGTAAGTAATTAAGTAAGTCAATTGAATTCGTGCTCAAGATTGGTTTAAATACATTGAATTCGATGGTAACATATAATATTCCGTGAAATAAACATTGATTATATTGGCTAGAACTAGAATGTCAACTTCAGAATTGAACTATTCAGTTCATACAACACAGCGCTAATAATATTCATATGTACACCGAACTACTTACTTACAATGTAATTGTATATGAATGAAGAAATAGATAGTTGGATGAAAAAGAAGTATATATATATACTTACATTGGATATCTTTGACGTTCAGCACGTTCACGTTGTAGCGCAATGAAAAAAGCCGCATTCCAAAATCGCATTGATTGCCAAATCACTTGATCTTTCAATAATACATAAAGATATTTTTGTTCAGCCGTACCATTTGGAGAGACAGCTGCAACAATAGAAAAAAATGATGTACAGTAAAAAGCAAGAATACTGTTAGACTAACATTAGAAGCCTAGAAGCACTTGACCACTGTTTCGACCTACTATAGGACTTATCAGCAGTGTGAATCGAAAATCTCCGCTCGTATTAAAGCGTTCGTGAGTGAGACTGAAGTTCTTTGGTTTGATTCTCACGAGATGGGATCGTAGACACACACTCCTGATGAGTTCTATACTAGGACGAAACGGCCGTCCAGTGCTTCCAGGTTTCATTATTTCTATGGAAAATAAATTTTTAATCAAAATACGGATTTACTGGTCCTACGACGACCATGTCTCGATTCTACGTGAAATCCTATTCGTATACTGTGAAAGAAGTTTAGTTATAGTAGAAATCTATCTGTGTACAATTGTCAATGGTCCTCTACTTGTCTTCACTTTATGAAGTAAAGTGTGTCTGTTATGCTCGTCAATTGATATGCTTGAAACTATTACGAGTTCACCTTAGTCGGTAAATGAGAGAGAAGACAAATGATTCAGTGACACGATAGGCTATTCTGAATCGATTGTTCCCGGTCGTGCTAAATATAGGAAGAAGTCTTGACAAGACATAGAAAGTGTATTCTACTAGCACACAGAAAATATCAGGTGGACAACCACACAAATCGAGTTTATTTACACAAGATAGAAAGGTCTTTGGAACAGGCACAAAAAAAGCGTACTAAAATAATAAATCAATCAATAACAGCCAAGGATTTTCCGGGTGGGAAATGTAATTTCAATGTCAATCGATCAGCTCATGCGTGAAAACATAAAATCCAAAATTAAGACCTTTATCAAGTGAGTTCTGAGGATCTAACGTCCCAAACAGTGCCTAAATGGCCGAGATAAAAAATACTTTTAGAATTTTCCGTCTAATCACTATTGTACTGGTGGTTCCATGTGGATTGTTTTTCCTGTCCTAAACAATGAGGCTGACGATATTAGTTCTTCTGGACACACCTCTAGCTAAATTCCCTAGGTCAAGCATCCATACCAAATAATGTTAGGATATGATGTGCTACTCATCTAATTCGAAGACTAGCCACCTAAGATTGTATACTCCTGGACATATCAGATATTACACAAATATATCTTTACATCCTTCTATTTTCCTGTTATCCATTAACTGGTATTGAGGAACTCTACGTAAGAAGACGCTTTGAATGTCACCATAATTAAAGACTATATATGCATCACATTTTCAGATGTATAGGAGGTTCTTTGAAACGATAAATCGATCAGTCTTAGAAACCTGAAAACACTAGGGGACCGTTTCGTCCTGGTATGGAACCTGTGCTTATCTACGACTCCTGCTACCCGCAGGAATCAAACTCACGATCTTCAGTCTCACGTGTGAATGCTTAACCACTGGACCACTGAGCCAGCATCCAGTGGTGTCAGTGTCTAACTTCGATTTATTTATGGTCTTCTGCCACCTCATCTACTGTCTTCTGTGAGAACGTCTTCATACCCGAACAGGATTGATCGCCACTGATGACTTCTTCTCAGTGGTCTAGAGGTTAAGGGTTCGCGCGCAACACTGAAGATCCTGAATTCGATTCCTGTGAGAGGTGAGAGTCGTGGATGCACACTGCTGTTGAGTCCTATATCAGGACGAAACAACAGTCCAGTGTTCCCAGGTTTCTAATGGTGGTCTAATACTGATCGATTCATGATTTAAAATTAAGTTTTATTTGTAACCATGAATAGATCAATGTTAGACCAACACCATAAGAAACCTGGAAGCACTGGACGACCGTTGCGTCCCATTATGAGACTCATCAGCAGTGCGCATCCACGGCTCCTGCACCCCGCAGGATTCGAACCCAGGGCCTTCGGTATTGTGCGCGAAAGCCCTAACCGTTAGACCATTGAGCCGGTATCTAACGGTGTTAATGTCTAACCTGAGGAGTCCCATACCAGGACGAAACGGCCGTCCAGTGCTTCCAGGTTTCTAATGATGGTCTAACATTGATCGATTCATGGTTACAAATAAAACTTAACAATCTTCACAACAATCCCGCAATGCAATTTAAAATTAACTCAACAATCTCCAAAATCATTTAATGAAAATGTATAGGCCGATGACAGTTCGAAACGAATATGGTTTTGATAAAGTTTTCCAGATTGATTTTTAGAATTCACATTTTGTATAGGAAGCTTTTAGGAATTTCATTTGCTAGATTCGCTATCACATACATAGCAGAATGAACAGCTTGTGCGGCTGCTGATTGAACACTGACACTACACCACACTAGAAAACTCAATTCACCGAATTTAAAGTTACAGCTATGAATTACTCAACTATTTAATCAGACATTTAAAATACATCCGATAACGTGTAATATACTGAGCCAATCGGAATTGACCCTAAATAGAAGGTCATTTGATGACCTTCAGAAAATAATCCATAAGATGAATGCCCATTATCGGTTAAGAAATGGCGTTCATTTTTTTATATGGATGGAGTGTTTGTTCATAATATTCTGTAGCCAAATAAACTTCCCATTTCAATCTAGTTCACTCATTCAAACATCTAGTTCTGAAGAGGGTTAGCATATATCATATTCAGATCTCGGATTCCCTTATAGTGTGTGTACTCAAATTAACAATGTATGTGTACTAATGTGTTAAGCCCACAGGGCTTGTCCTACCTTTTGGACAAACTCATTAACCTTTTATTCCCTAGTTAGTATTCACTCATCTTTTGACCTCGCCAATTATTCGCTCATATCTTGGTCATTTCGATTCGAGGATGTTTGTGAACTGCTTACTTCGCTTACCAAAGTCTAGCTTATTTTGTCTGACTATAAATACTGAGTCATGCTTTATCGCATGCAGTTGGCTTGCCAACCTTCTCCACTTCACTTCGCTTTGCTTTCAAGCTATGTATTCTCCAGTCTATCTACATGAACGATTGCTTAAATTAAACTCATCCAACTTGAATACGTATTTGACGCCGTCGCATAAACGGGGTTCGCCTACATATGATATACGGAAACTGAAGGAGAGATTTATTTCAGAGCATACTCGAACATTCGTAAATAAAGGAGTCAGCTCACGGGCCATTGAAGTAGTAATCCCTATCTCGAGTTCAATACAGACATAACACAATCTCACAAACGGCATAACCTCAACAACTTACTTTCATGGTATAATGAAAAACTTAATTGCATAATAATGTAAGCTGGTGTATAATCTTCATTTTCATTACATTGATTTAATAATGGACCAACAAATAAGGCCAATTGTTCCAATAGTTGATTTGATATACATTTCATACCTTTTGTCTATTAAAAGAAAAACGAAATTCCATCATGTCATTGTGTTCAATATTCAATAACATTTAATCAATTGTTCATTGAACTGATTGAATATGAAAGAAGAAGAAAGCAAAGACACATTTAAAGATATTTTTATTTCTTTGAATTCTTTCTATAATATTTTTAAAAGAATTAGTAATATTCGACTGTTTGATTTGAAGATTTCATCACTGCAGGATACTACTTATAGAATTTTGTTAGTAGTCTGTCTAGTATTAGTAAAATTCCAGGATTCTATTACTTCAGTTAATGGAGAATCTGTAAAATTTAATTTCAATTTAAGCTGAACTACTATTAAAAGTACAAGTTTGTAAGTATCTTACAGATTCGTTTCAAATTAAAACTAATTTCAGGTAAGGTTGCTTACTGTCACCCATTTCTTTTTATTCTGGTGGTTGACAGAATTATTGAAACCTCAACATCTCAGGAGAAACAAGCCATACAGTGGACAGCTCGGATGCAGCTAGATGGTTTGAACTTGGCAGATGATCTTGCTCGTTTATTCAGCAGCTAAGACAACCAATCTAACAGTAGCCTGTGCAGCAGCAGTAGGCCTTATTATACACAAAGGAAAAAGCAAAATCCTTCGATACAACATTCAACGAATAAATCACACTTGACTAGCAAAACTAGTCACTAGGGGGCACATGGCTTTTATTATCGAAGGGGATCTGTGGAGACTGTACTATTTTGATAGTTGGAACAGGTATCCACCAAAGGCAACGGATGAACTATTGCTCTAGACCATGGATTCACTGAAGTTGGACATTTAAACTGTTGAATGTCAACTCGAAGGTCTTGAAATTAACTGTTCGCTCGTGAAATAGAGGCACCTGAGTTTGGTTCCCATATCTGACGTCCTAAATGCTGACTTCTAAGGTGTCTTATAGTTGATCGAAACATCCATCCAATGATTCTCGTTTTGCAATGATTGTCTATATGAGAACAGTTCATGATTTCAACCTAACTATTCTCAGATATTAACAGAAGAAGAAACCTAGATGCTAAGTGAGATGTCGAGTATACGAAATAGGGATTTCACTGTGTCACTACGGCTATCTCAATACAAATTATGTTCATATGACTTAACAAAATAATAGCTTACTTGAGATCTTAGTTCTTTAGCATATCTTGAACGACCACTGTGCCTCTAAAATGGTAAATAAGTGAACATTAATGAAATCTTAAATAATTTTTCTGAAAGAAAACATTATTTTCAATTAGTTTATGAAATCCTGTTACCCTCATATATTTTTATTTTGCTGTTTACGCTATATTACTTAATAAATTTGAGTAGTATTTCTTTTTTAACACAAGTTTATGGAATGATTATGACAACTTGCTATTATTACTGAATGTGAAAAGGTAATGGGTCAATCATTCTGTGTTTTTCTCACATGATTCCCTTAAAAAATCATTGGAACACTAAGAATTTTTAGATATCTCTCTTTTAAACGATAAATGGTTTCAATGTTCAATGACTAGGGAGAAAGGGAATTTAGTCAGTCAGTCAGATGCAACGTAGAACTTCGTACGTAAGTACATCAGTTCATGTTGCCATACCACATTAGCACACAGAGATATAATTGTCAATTCAAATCCAATAGTAGTAGAGGTAGTAAAAGTATTAGAAGTAATCGGAGAGATTAGGATTAGAAGATATTATTCAAGAAGTACGATTAAGTGCGATAAGTTTAGAAAGACAAAACTAGAGGTGTTGAAGAACACAGAAGATTAGGATTTGAGAGAACACGAAGAATAAATGCACCGGCGCCATTGCAAACGGTTTTGAGCCATGTCATTCAGAGTCTCTAACCATCGATTATTATCATCTCGCGGACCCTAACCAGCGAGTCGAAAACTACCGACATGACTCAGTCCACTTGTCAATGACTTCATGGATTAAACGGGAAAGGGAATTAGGTAAACTCAGACACTGGTAGACTATTGGCCCGATAAATTAGTGGTCATCACACTGAAATTTTTTCTAAAAAGATTTTTTCCAGCGGAATTGTCAGTTGTTTAAACACACCGATATTTCAACAGTAATCAGTATGAACTCGAAATATTTATTGCTTGGATAGAGATTTCTGTTAGTTTTAGCCTATAAATCTGGAAAATATGGTCACAGAGTATATTATCTTACATAATCGTATGCATATTTTAGCTTGATATTTGAGAAGCGTTTGCATTAGCATGGAATATAAAGGAGTCTCTTTAACGTGTCTTGAATTATAACTTATCAATATATCATGCTCCTCGTATGTCTGATCGTACTCAAGGCTATTATATAAAGATTTCAAGACAGATCTCATGGAATAGTTAACGATTGGAACATGGTACTAGGAGGAAAAATGAATTCAACTCAATTCGTGGATGTTTTACAAGGAGAAACTGGATTTTTACTGGAAAGATATACCCCAAGGACTAATATTGGTCAAACAACCTACAATCCTTATTATTGAAGACTGATATGCATGTACCATACTCTCCACTAACTCTGAATATCTTGAATTGAACCTTGTGTATTTAAAACAATTAGTCTCTTATATAAATTTTGATAGAACAGTGAGAAGACGTAATTGATCCGAAATATGCGTTTGACTGAAACACTGATTTCAAATGGTTATCCACTAAAGTTTATCAATAAGTGTACAAAACAGTTAAGACAAAAGCCTGTTTTTCATTCTGCTGGAAAGAAAAATGTTTATATCACTCTACCATTTAAAGGTGAATCAAATGGTCTAATCTTAAGATAGAGAGACTAAAAGCAGTCATAGAGAGAACATGCTACTACGCTGCTAAACTGATTCCACATAGGCTTAGACATTGCTCGAATGATGATTACATAACAGCCCATTGCATTTATCAATTTACATGTTTGTATGGACAACCATACATATGGAGGAGTAATCGGACTTTGCGATCAAGGGTTATGGGGCACATGTACCTAAGTGGCTTCAAAATCAGTTAACTTCAGATGAGCCGATAAACGTTGGGAAATAGAAAACCATGTTCAGTAATCGCAAAACACATAATTGAGACTATGCGTAAGTTGACATCAAGACAGCCGTCAAAACATTGTTCAGAAACGTTGAAGGACGAATTTAGAGGGTCATAGAAGTCTTGGCTATTTGTAAATTAAAACCCCATTTAATGTTTACAGAAACAATATGTTATAACCTTGAATTTACCCTGGAAATCTTTAAGTGATTTTATGGCCAAGTGTAATGTGACAATTTCCTACCCTTTCTTATTAATCCCATATTACGTTAATTTTCTCACTCTCCTTGATCTACAATGATCACCTTATGGCTATTTGAATTTTCATTTATAATTAACCTTTTATCAATCTTGAATCATGAATCGATCAAAGTTAGACCAACCTTAGAAACCTGGAGGCACTGTAAGACCGTTTCATCCTGGTATGGGACTCATAAGTGGCAGTGCGTATGCATGACTCATGCACCTCGCAGAATTCGAACCCGGTCTTGTGCGCGAACGCCTAACCTCCGGACCACTGAGCCAGTATCTATCGGTGTTCATGTCTAACTGTTCTATCAAAATTCTTGTGTATGCACTACTACTACTACTACCATCACTACTACTACTCACACTACTGCTACTACTACTACTACTACTACTACTACTACTACCACTACTACAACTACTACCACTACTACTACTCACACTACTACTACTGTGGTGCTGTGATGTGAGCTACTTATAAGTAGTATATGACGTGAGTATCAACGTAATGTCTGGCAGCATAATATGGGGAAAGATCAAGAAAGGAAGAGTTCGAAGAACACTATGGAGTTTGTATGAAACACATGAATAGTGACAATGGATTGATGTTTGGCAACAGGAACAGTCCAGTTCCATAGGATGAACTGATATTTTGCAAATTAACGATTTACGATATGGTTTTCCTATTTTACTACTGAGTAACTCTGTAATTTCGTTAAATAAAATTCGGTTGCCCCACCTGTGTTCTCGTTCACTACACTACTACTGCTCCGACTACTACTACTCGCACTACTACTACTACTACCATCAGTAATTCTCCTACCGTTACCTAGATTTTAATCTTTTTTGTCCCTTTTAGTTTTTCAAAAAAAATATCTATCATAAAACGCGGAAGTAATGTAAATGGTTTGTTTTTTTTTAAAAAGAATAGTTCATCAGTTCGATATATATATCTTTGACTGGGGGGCATAATAAAAGATTGACAAATTTTTTATTAGATTACAAATAATAAACGGAAGTTTACTTCATTGAATATGATTATTAATTTTTTCTAAAAATTTAAAATCAGTGGTATAATTATCAGGCAAATTTTGGAAATTTGATTTGTTTTTTTTTTGATATTTTCAATTTTAATTACAATGTTCATTGAAACAAAAAGAAAATTGAAATATGTTTCGTTTGATTGTGAACTTTTCTCTGCTACTTGTTTTCAATTAAACTATTTCAAGTAGGGTTTTGTAGAGTTGAGTTTAATGTGTGAGTACTATTTAGCAGCAAGTGTGATGAATGCTACTCACAAAGTATCATATAAGTAGTATGTAATGTAGCATGGGTTAGAAGTATCTATCAGAGAGGAGAATGGAAAGAGAAGGAAATGCTTAATGTGATTAGTGTTGTTAGAAGACTAGAAGACATGTAGGAGAAGATAGTCAATCATCTATTTGTTTTGAAAATGGAAGAGTGAAAATAACATGTACACATTTTGTTAATAAACAAACAGTGTCTTCTCTCTGAATATATATGCATCTTCCATCTGATATGGACCTATTCATACATCAGACAAGGAATACTGAAAATCTGTCTTGTTCTATTTTTTAGACTGTCCAACTGCTAACCTACGTGAGCTCCACCAGTCACAGTGTCTCTACCGTCCCTTGGTTTTCAATCGTCAGTCAGTCAGTCAGTAACAATGTTGAACTTCGTACCTACATACATCAGTTCAGGTTGCCATACCACACTAACACAGAGATAAAATTGTCAGCTCAAATCACGTAGTAGTAGAGATAGTAGAATTATGAGCAGTAATGGAGAAGATTAGGGTCCTAAGATATTATTCAAGAAGTATGATTCAGCGAGATAACTTTAGAAAGAGAAAGTTTAAGATGATAAGGAATTTAGAAGGTTAAGATTTGAGAGAACACAAACAGTGGATGCACCTGCACCATTGCTAACGGTTTTGAAGCATGTCGTTCAAGGTCTCTAACCATTCGTGACTTTCGTCTCGCGGACCTCAACTAGGTAGTCTACATCTACCAACATAACTTGGTCTAGTTGTTAGTGACTTCATAGATTTGCGCCATGTTTTAGTCTGGTTGCCCTTAACTTTCTTCCAACCTACTCCTACACCACGAAACATAGCTCGTCATGGCAGTCGCTGATTAGGCATACGTAACACATGTCCGAACCACCTCAACTGATGAAGTGTCAATACGTCATCTATGAGACATATCAGTAATACGAATCCACAATATACAGGCGGAAAATTGAACGCAAAACCCTTAAATTCCTGACCATATTTAACTTCAATCAATTCATAATATTGCCCAACCCTGTCTTCGGTAGGTAACTGCCTCACAACCCATAAGTTTGAACTCCACTGACCACTACTATCCCCTGCTTTCAAGTTACCTAATAGTGCCTAACATTGATTGATTCATGATTTCAATAAAACTCAACCATCTTCACAACCCCATATTGGTATTTTGCATTTACTAAGTTGATCAGTTCACTACACAACGTTACAATCAAGATGACTAGTTGTAATTGTTTCAATTCAATTACATAGTGAATCAAACAATAAAAAACATTAGCAAAAGGTTTTCAGTTTATATCTCTCTCTCTTTATCATAACTGCTTTATGCTAATGAAGTACTATACTGTACTGTAACGAAATAGTTGTCTATTTCCTTTTTGAGTTTTTGCTTCCTCCTTTTACTCTAATTCATGAAAATCAGTGACAAGCATCAGTATTTACATGTATTTTTTTTTTGAGATAAAGAACCTATTCAATAATTACAGGAAATGAATGATTAAAATAATTTCATGGATATGTGTGTAAGTGTGGATAAAATGTATTACACTGATTGATTGATTGATTGATTGTATGAACAAAATGATAGAGGTTTTAAATGCAGTTCAAGTCAGTCAGTCAGTTACAATGTAGAACTTCGTAGGTATGTAAATCAGTTCAGGTTGATATATCACATTGGCACACAGAGATGCGATTGTCAATTCAAATCCCATAGTAGTAGAGGTAGTAGAAGTGAGAAGACTGAGGCAGGTGCGGAAGATTGTATTATGCAAATTTACACTCTGAGTCAATTAAAAACGAACGAAAACATTACATTGAATACACTCTATTTGCACACCATCTTTGAGTCGTGACTTCCAACACTCCATCCTTCTTCTTCCATTCCTGTTGTTGCTTCCTTTACTTCTTCCTGTTGGTACTCCTCCATTTACTTCTTGCTTTTGCTCCATTTGCTTTCCGTTTTCCTCTTCTGACCGTGAGACTTCTTCTTTCACGTCCCTTCTTATACTACTTATATCGTTCGTATAAGTAGCACACACCACAGTAGAAGTATTAGCAGTAATCAGAGAGATTAGGGTTCGAGAATCCTGGTCACACGTTTTGGACTCGTCAGCTAGAAGTACCTGTATCTCTGAGTTGATGTCCACTCTAGGATTCGAACTCCATACCGCTCGCCTCAAATGTTTAACTACTCATTCCATATAACCACTCATGCATAGAACGTCCATATACCAACCAAGACTGATCACATTTCAGTCAAAATATCAACCACGGAAGCATCCAAAACCATTTTATAATAAATTCAACTTCAAAAGATATCTTATCAATAAATCTTCTTGTATAAATCATTATATTAATGGTGTATGCAGAATATATTGATTAAATTTAAACAGAGTATAAGAAGTTGTTAAGTTCGTCAATTGAGATGCTCGAAACTATGACGAGTTCACCTTAGTCGGTAAACGAGAGCGAAGACAAATGATCTGGTGATACGATAGGCTATTCTAATCCGAACGTTTCAAGTCCCCACTAATTAGATGAAGAAGTCTTGATATGGCGTAGAAAGTGTAATCTATAAGCAACCAGAAAATCGAGGTCCTTAAACACACAAATCGAGTTTATTTATACAACATGATAGAAACGTTCTTGGGAGAGCCACAAAAATAACGTACTAAAATAACACATCAAGCAAAGACAGTCAATAATTTTTCTGGTGGGAAATCTCAAGATCAACTGATCAGCCCATGAGTAAAATCCAAAATTAGGACCTTTGTCAAGTGAGCTCTGGGGATCTAACATCCCCAACAGATGCTTTGTTAAATTACAATAAATACAATCTAAGAAGTATTAGCTAACAATTTTGAATAAGTGATTGATTCAAGCACAAATATGTTTTTTAGACCATTATTAAAAACCTGGAAGCTCTGGATGACCGTTTCGTCCTGGTATGGGACTCATCAGCAGTACGGATACATGACTCTTGCAACTCATGCCATATAAATCCAGGACCCTTGGTCTTGCGCGCGAACGCCTAACCTCTGGACCACTGAGCTGGTATCTAACGGTGTTAATGTCTAACTTCGATTAATCCACTGTCTTGCCCAACCTGCGAGTTGCAGGAGTCATGGATGTGCCTTGTTGATGAATCCTATACCAGGACGAAACAGCCGTCCAGTGCTTTCAGGTTTTTAAATGGTAGTCTAAGACTGATCGATTCATGATTTTAAAAAAACTAACTCATCATTCTCCACAACCTCATAATACAAATCTATGTTACTCAATAGATTATGCAGAGAAAAATAGCAATACTACTTAAATGTTACTAATAAATCTTTCTAACTAATTCTTTGAGTTCTATTTCTGTATGGTTAGACTGATCAAGTGATAACATGAGGCATAGGAGTTGAATAGGATAATAGATCATGCCGTTGAAATAAATATATGAGGAATGGTTCATTAAAGTGTCAAATCTCAAATTAAATCATCAGATTAGATACTCTATCCGCATTTATCTTATTTTGATATAAGATAATATTACGTAATAGAGAATCTCATATTATAGAGTGAACTGTTAAAGCATAATAGCTGTTAATTTCATGTCATCATAACTCACAATTGAATTTTTACAACAAAGTTGTGTTTGATTTTGATGTTTAACTAAAAAAAAACCTCTACACATTGTTACATTTCAGTAAGAGAAATGAATTGACATATACAATTTAATGTTTTTGAAACTGATGTTATGTGTGTGTCAGCAGTGATAGAATTCTATCTGTCAGGTTGCAATATGACCAGTAATATAGGTGACTTGACACTCACTGAGTGTAATATATTGAGATGTAAGATGGTGTTTGGCGGTAGCTGATAACAAACCTTAGACTTAATCTTCTTATAATTGGGTATTTGTCAGCAGGATGTATCTGTAATATTGAGGTAATTGATACTCTCTAGCTCTTGTATCTCTCAGATTCACAGACATTACTCTTAGAAATTATTAGTTCTGTGACTAAACTCCTGTAGGATAGAAATGTGTATTTACGATTGATCGATTACTCAGTAGTAACCAATGTCATGTATATCGGGTCTTTCCTAATTCTGATCGAATTCGTAAGATCTAAGTGTATCCACCTGATGAATCCTAAATAAGGTGAAATGTGCATCTTTGATTCCACTGTTAGCCATTAAATCTATCTACTCAGTTAGATTTGCTTTTTCATTTATTTATCAATCATTGTTAGACCGACATTAGAAACCCGGAAGCACTGAAAGACGATCGTTTCGTCCTCGTACGCAACTCATCAGCAGTGCATATCCACGATTCTTGCTACTCACAGGATTCGAACCCAGAACCTTTGGTCTGCCGCGCAAACGCTTAACCTCTGAAGCACTGGGCCGGTTTACAATGGTGTTGATGTCTAACTCTGATCAATTTAGGGATTTTACACAATCTCACCCATTTATTTTCGGTATTTACTGTCTCGGAATTCTTATGATGGATTCAACTGCAAAATCGCACACGAAGGACAGCTAACAGACTCTTTCGAGGTGAAGACCGGTGTCAGGCAAGGTTGCTTACTCTCACCCTTTCTCTTTCTCCTGGTCATCGACTGGATTATGAAGACGTCGACATCTGGAGGGAAGCACGGTATCATCTGGACAGTTAGGACGCAGCTGGACGATCTGGACTTCGCAGATGACCTGGCTCTTCTATCGCACACGCAACAACAAATGCAAGAGAAGACGACCAGTGTAGCAGCAGTAGGTCTCAACATACATAAAGGAAAAAGCGAAATTCTCCGATGCAACACAACATGCACCAACCAAATCACTGTTGATGGAGATGCCTTGGAGGACGTTAACACCTTTACATATCTGGGCAGCATCATCGACGAGAAAGGTGGATCCGATGCAGATGTGAGTGTGCGGATTGGCAAAGCAAGGGCTGCATTTCTACAATTGAAAAATATCTGGAACTCCAAACAACTTTCAACCAAAACCAAAATCAGGATTTTCAATACAAGAGAGTTCTCCTGTATGTAGCGGAAACTTGGAGAACTACGAAAGGCATCATTCAGAAGATACAAGTATTCATTAACAGTTGTCTACGCCAGACACCATCAGCAACAATGAACTGTGGGAGAAAACAAACCAGATTCCAGTGGAGGAGGAAATCAGGGAGAGGCGATGGCAGTGGATAGGATACACACTGCGACAGGCATTCAACCGCATCACAAGACAAGCCCTCACTCGGAACCCTCAAGGCAAACGGAAAAGAGGAAGACCAAGGAACACATTACGCCGAGAAATAGAGAAAGATATGAGAGGAATGAACAAAAACTGGACAGAACTGAAAAGGAATGCCCAGGACAGAGTTGGTTGGAGAAAACTGTGGGCGGCCTATGCTCCTCTACTGGGGTTAACAGGTCACGTGACGTCACGTAATGAACAACAATCTCTCTTATTTTTCATATAATTGCTAAGAAACTCAAGAATTACATTCACTGTGGTTGGTACTGTTTCTTCTTAATGCCCCCCCTCCCTATGAAGTGAACAGAACTGATTGCAAAATAGACTTCAAACACTATCCTTATTCAGCCATAAAAAGAGATGTCATCAAAGCCAAAATAGTTATAAAAATTTGAGTATGAATATGTACTTGAAAACTTAGAATTACTAAACAAAACTCTAAATGACCTTGCAAAAATAAGCCAATCCAAGTAGAGCATGAAATGAAAGTGTTTTATAAGAAGAAATCATTTCATGTACTTCACACACCGGTTAAAAATCACTTACCATAATGAAATCTTTGAAATTTTTCACCATTTTCTCATTGATTGGGCTAGTGAAATTAAAAAATAATTAAAAACAATCATCATAAAATTATTTTTAATTATTTGAAATCATCAACCAATCATTGTTAGGTCAACCATCAGAAACCTGGAAGCACCACTGGACGGCCGTTTCGTCTTGGTATAGGACCGGTGGAGTTCAACCCTGTTGGGTGTAGGCAGTAACTATCGAAGACAAATGGGTGAGGTCGCGCAAAATCTCTAGATTGATCAGAGTTAGACATTAACACCGTTGGATGCCGGCCCAGTGGTCCAGAGGTTAGGCGTTCGCGCACATTGTCGGGGTTCGAATCATACGAGGTGCAGGAGTCGTGTGCGCACTGCTGATGAGTCCGATGCCGGGACGAAACGGCTGTCTTCCAGTGCTTCGAGGTTTCTAATGGTGGTTCAACAATGATTGATTAATGATTTCAATTGTGTAAAATCACTGACCTCCATAACTCTAATTGAAAGTATAATTATTTGGTGTTATTCAAATGAGTTACTCTACCTAGAGCTCTTCTGGGTTTACTGTCAGTCTTAAGCCCAAATGAAGGGAGAGTTTCCGGGATACTGGTTAACGGTTCCATCCCGGAGAAAATCAACACGCTACAAAAACGCTAATCAGAAAAAAATAACAACGCTGGTCAGTGACCTATGCTACATTCAGGATGTAACAGGCATAAGTAAGTAAATACAAATCCCTTCTTAAGAGCACATACATAATGTTATTTTTACATACTGTAATGATTGAATTGTATATTCAGTAGTTTATATCACCAGTAGTGTATTATTTAGACAAGAATCATGGTATTACGCATCCATTGGTTAGATGATTTAATCTTGAGAAGTTATCATCTATGCATATCAACTTGATCAAATATTATGTAGAAGTCTTTAATCTAATTTATATGACTATTTTGGGTTTTACCTAGTAATCTAAAAAGGGAAAAGATCATTGACTATTGAATTTCATTTATTAAATGTCACGCACTGCACGTAAACACGTCATTTTGATATGCTTGAACTATTACGAGTTTACCTTAGTCGGAAAACGAGAGCGATGATCGATAACCCGGCAACACGACAGGCTACTCTAATCTGATTTTCCCAAACCCCCATTGAGTAAAAGAAGAAGACTTAATATGAAGTATAACCTGTATTCTACAAGCATCCAGAAAGTAAGAGGTCTGAGTCAAAAAGAGGATAAAGATTCCGGACTAGGGATCCGGGTCCGGGTCATAAAACGTTACAGATAATGCGTATTTACACAGTTAGGTCGAATAAGAAACAACATTGAAGTATGTGACATTGATAGCTAGGACGACCATAATATTGACCAGTAGGAATTGACCAATAGAATTAGACTTACAAAAATAATTCTCTTAAGATATTTGATGAATATCCTAACAGTAATCTTCATTTATTTATAAGCTTGAGTGTATATTTCATACATATTGGATAAATGTGTATTTTCGCTTACGAAGACGAATCGATAGAGAGTTAAGAAAGTATCCTCAAAGAATCTCAAATGACATTATTACATATAACCGAAATTCTAATAAGAAACTATGACCAAAGGTTTTCCGGTAGCGTCTGAATGTTCTACATTCTCTCTCTGATGAATCTACTGATTTCTAGTTTTAAATAGTCCCCTTACTAAACCTTGTTTACTAATAAAACAAACTATTTTCTATCAATACAATATATATACAAATCAACAATTTACCTTTGTTGAATTAAATTAGAAACTAAGGCACGAATTTCTATTTTACGTCGTTCAGCATCTTCATCTGGTAAACTATCAACACTTTCAACGGATACTTGACGTTCAATTGGTGCAACTTCTGCATACATTGGACGATCACCATCATCACCATATTCACTAGCTGAACTGTCATCGTCATCTCCATCGCCATCTCCATCATCGTCATTGTTGGTGGTAGATTTCTTTTTCTTTCCACTCTCATTGGTTGATTGTTCGCCGGGTATTTTAAATGATGTTAATTTATGTGATAAATCATTGATTAAACCATTCTTTTTTGTTTGAACTGAATCAAGAAATTTCGATGTACCAGATAAGAAATTATTTACTCCAGTTGTAGCAGTCCCAGCGGTTGTAGTTCCTTCTTCTTGTTCTCCAATTTTCACATCAGTATTTAATACATTTTTAAAAAATCCTTTGACACTCATTTTAACATGAGTAATAGTAGTAGTAGGTCAAAGACAATTTGACAGCTTGAAATATACAGTACGAAAAAAACAAAATGAATTTTGTAGGATTGAATAAAACACAATATAGAATGATGGTTAAGCATGACAGTGTTTACAATTTATTGACTGTAAAATATCACAGTGCTGAGGTAACTCAGTCACGATCTGAATAACTCAGTGGTAATACATCTATAACAATATCCTGAAGACCGACAATTCCAGATACAATAACTGACATGAAACCGAAGTTACAAGTATTTGTTTGGACTGTCTCCAACCTCTTAATACAGTATCATTGATTTTATTCAATGAACTGAAGTAAGTTTGAGGGTGTTGATAAACTTAGCCAAAGATTTCATTCAATTTTACAATTGCTAAGCTTCAGAGAGTAAATAGTTTCAAACTAAAGAAATACACATGAGAGTTATTAGTAAATCAGTTTGAGGTTCTAAATTAAATGAACGAAAACATTAGTCTAACAGATAATAACCAATGTGTCGTAACACTCGCTTAAATAATTCCAAGCTAATTCCTGTTGCTTAGTATTCTCTGACCACACAATACAGTGGACAAGTTCCAAAGAATCAAAAAACATGGTGGAACAGGGATTGGATTATTTTCCAAATAGCAAGGTTAAATGGAAAATAAGAAGCCGAAGGCGAAGGCAAAAAAGATAAAGCGTTAGTTTATTTATAGCATTTACATGAGAAGCTTCTGGATAGAAATTCACGTGATCGGCTGGATTAGTCCTAGCCAATCAGAATGCAGCTAACAATACGAGAATTTTCTACCCTGCTCTCCAAGAATCGATCAGGCACTGATTGGATAGGAAATTAGTCAATCAGCGCGCAACAACGTAGTCATGCTTTAATTCCATCTATGTCCCACTAACACAATGATTATTCAGTTTAAAAATACTCTTTTGACTGCATCCCATTCTGTAATCGATACTATCCAAATTTAGAATATCTATTTACTCGGTAAGTTTACTAGTAAATTCTTGCATTGGATGATGGCCCAGTATTTTATAGATTAGGCATTTGTGTGCATAACTGAACCTCTTGGGTTAGACATTAGTACCGATGGATGCCAACTCAGTTATCAGCAGATTAAGCGTTCACGCATGAGACTCAAGATACTGAGTTCGACTTCAGTGTGCAGGGTTGTGGACTCGTCAGCTGGATGTACCTACATCTCAGAATTGATGTTCACTCTGGGATTCGAGCTGAGTACCGTTTGCTTCAAGCACAATCATGCAATCCACTCAGCTACTGAGTTCAGATAACCGCTCAGTTGTGCGATAACACGGTACAAAGTTCGAGTCCCAGAGTGGTACAGGTACATCCAACTGATGAGTCCTAAAAAGGACAAAATGCACTTCTTGGATTCCACTGCTTATCATACTCTATATAAACTTGTGTCACAATGGTTTTATCAAGTCAACACGCATAAAATGCTCATATGCCAACTCATACTAATCAAATTTCAGTCAAAATATCAACAACGGAATTATGCAAACTATTTCAAGTTGAACCAATTATAACAATAAAAGTTCTCATTTCTTTACAATTCAGAAAGTACAAAATCTCACTGGATACGTCGAAACTCCGTGATGATCTATCATAATATAAACTAATGGTTTATTCCTCTATGACGTAAGCACTTAGTGCTATATATATATATATATATATATATATATATATATATATATATATATATATATCACTTTTTGGGCTCAACAATTAAACAGTAACCAATTTCTGAAGACAAGAGATGATACTGGATGTCAATTAACAGCCTAAACATTAGGCTCTGGTATTCATATATGAAAGTCATGTTTTCTATCTTCGACAGAGTCTCATACTAGGGTGATGTTATGTTCGTCACTAGGTACGCTTGAAGCTATTACAAGTTCACCTTAATCGATAAACGCGAAAGAGACAATAACCAGCGTCCAGATAGGCTACCTTGAATCCCAAACTGTAAATTGGAAAGCGTAGAAAGTATATTCTACAAACACCCAGCAATCACAATACCATCAAGCATACAACTCTCGTTTATTTATCCATCATAGAAACGTCCTTGGGACATTAATGAAAATAGCACACTAAAATACAGCCATGGATTTTGCTGTTGGGAAATGAAATCTCCAGGTCAACTGATCAGCCCATGCTTGCAAACGTGATAAGGCGTAGAAAGTGTATTCTACAAGTACCCCAGAAATATGAAGTCGAGCTTCTTTATACATGATAGAAATTTCCTTGTAAGAGCCACGAAAAAAACGCGGACTAAAATAATCCATCAAGCAATGACAGTTAAGGATTTTCCGCGCGGGAAATGTTAGCTGAATGTCAACTAAGCAACTTAAGCGCGAAAACATAAAATATCCAAAATTATGGCATTTTCCAAGTGAGTTCTGGGGATCTAACCTTACCAACAATATTATGCTTATGCAAACCTCGTTTGTGTAAACGCGGTAATAACGGGCTAAATATGGATTCAGTTGAATGAGCTTGTTCCATGCAATCGTTCTCGCAGATAGACATGAAAATACGAAGCGTAAAAGCAAAGCAAAGCGAAGCTAAGTATCGAGAAGGCAAATGAGCTAATTCACTGCCTTGAGGTATGACTCAGTATTGATAGTCAGACATAAATAAGCTAGACATGTAATAAGCGAAGCAAATAATGCACACACGCACACATACAAGTGAAAAAAACCATCAAGGTTATCAGCAAATGATTGACAAGGTCAATTGATGTGTGAATAATACCTCGAGAAGAATGGGTCAATCAATTTGTCCAAAGATTGGGACAAGGTCATGTGGGTTCGGCATATTTGTCACACAATACGATAATAACTAACATTTTTAAATGACACAGTCATTAGTAATTCATAATTAATTAATTAATTGATTAGTTAATTCAATTATAATAAATTTTTAATGAAATTTATTAATTACATATTATATCAAACATTGATATGGTATGATATGATAGATGAATGTGTCGTTTATTATTGAAATTCAGTGAGAACTGTTATTGAAGTCAGTCTGTCAGCTACAACTTAGAACTACGTACTTGCTTACATCAGTTCAAGTTGTCACACCACATTAGTACAGAGATGCAATTGTCTATTCAAATCCCATAGTAGTAGATGTAGTAGAAGTATTAGCAGTAATCGGAGAGATTAGGGTTCAAAGAAATTATTCAAGAAGTAAAATCTAGTGAAATAAACTTAAAAAGATAAAGATAGAGGTGATGAGGAATTCAGGAGGTTAGGATTTGAGAGAACACAAAGAATGAATGCACCTGCGCCATTGCAAACAGCTGTGAGCCATGTCATTCAGGGTCTCTAACCATCGATTACTTTGATCTCGCGGGGCCTCAACCAGGTAGTATAGTATTGTATGCTTTATTAATAGATTTGTACATGCTTTTTAAAGAGATATCTATCACTGTTTGTTGAAAAGTTAACTACCTACAATACATACGTTACAGGCCGATTCTATGAAATGAATATATTTCTAGATATCATTAATATTCAGGACTGTAGACAATCAATTTTTTATTGTTATGTTGTCTATCCACAGACGATCACTGTTATCAAATCATTTTGCGGACAACATATTGATATTTGGTAGCAGTGGAATTCAAGAAGTTCCTTTTTATGTCTTATTTAAGACTCAACGTATGAATAACTCTTCAACTGAGTGTTGTTATTCGTAACGAGACTCCAACTTGAAAAAAAACCAATATAATTTTTAAAAGTGAACACACAAGTGTATTGATTATTTGTGTTCTCCCAAATTCTAATCTAAACTGCTCATCACTTTCATCTATGTCGTCTCAAATCGATTTCACTGGATTATACTTCCCACTGTGATCTTTCCGATTACTGCTCATACTTCTACTGCCTCTAGCATTAAGGGATTTGAATCGAAAGCTGCATCTCTGTGCTACCACGGTATGTCAACTTGAACTGATGTACATACATACGAAGTTCTACGTTGTAACTGACTGATTGACTGACTGAACTACTGAGTGTAGATAGTTATTAACTTGTTTAATAGCCATGCTGTTCATACCATGAATAACAAAGGTTTACACTATCCTTACGATATTGTTTAGAACTAAATTTTAATAAGTCTTGATAAGAAAATAAACACTGAGCTAAAGTTATTGTTTGATGATCAGTTTCTATAAAAGACGCACATTATGAACTCTGCTGACAGCCACAATCTATGGTTTCAAGTTGATTAGTCATTTCATTCGGTTAGTTAAAAGTTAATTTGGCTTCATTTCCTTTCATAGTTACAATTCTGCGTAAAGATACAACTCAGTCTAGAAAAATAATCCGAAACACATTTCAATCAATACCATTTAAACTCTAACCCTAACTTGGAATTCTCAAGGCGTATGGAGAAGAGGAAGACCGAGGGACACATTACGTCAAGGACTTGAGATAGATATGAAAATGAATGAACAGCGATTGGGTTTAACTGGTAAGAAAATCCAAGGACAAAGTAGGTTGGAGAATCCTGGTCGATGGCCTATGCCCCATGAGGGATGAGAAGCGCACGTAAGTAAATATTAAATTTCTAACACACTTTACCACTCATTCTTATCACTTTCATAAATTTATAAGTATTTATCTAGGTGAAATTATTCTTAGAGGTTAAAAATTCAGAAAAATGCGCTTATTAGTGAGATTCTTTTGCAATAACCTACTTACTCTCTCATTAATCCTATTTGCAACAAAAGTATTTGAAAAGTCAAACGCACAAATATGACTGTTACTTTTATTTAGCCGTAAAAAACTTTCCTTAACATCAAAATGAATCGAAAAATGAAAGAATACTTTTTAAAAAAATTTCGTATCAGTTTCACTGTCGTTTTCCAAAAACAAATCGAATTCAAATTCTTGAGTGCCATTTTTTTTTAGAACAGTTTAAACAAAAATGAATGAGTCAAGATTTAATATTTATTGAACTTACCTTTAAATTGTTTTAATGAATCGATTATT